TCATCGACAAAGCGTTTAGATAATGAAGATAACAAATTGGGAGCTGTGGCCAGCGTTACCAGGTTGACGTTTTTAACGTCATTTGGACGTTTTTTGTATCTTGTTGACGTTCGGACGTTTTTTGTGCAAAAAATTACGTTTTTTACCTTCCCAATAATTTTTCTCTGTTACTAAATCTTGTAAGTAGAACTGATTTTGAATTATTTTCTTAATAAATCGTAACAAGCTTTGTTTTTTGCAGCAGCTTCTTCAAAAGATATTTATCCTTTGTACACAAATGACTTAAATACGATGCAAACCAAGCGTACGCGCATTTTTTGGATTCTTGGATTAAGGATCCCGCATTCAAAGGCTGGTTTTGTAAACACTTGAGGTTACGAGGCTTATTGCAATGTTTGCAATTGCACATTAAAAGCCAAATCAGGGAAAGCTGATCAGGAAAGCTGAACAGGCGCGCTCGCAAAAGCACCAAAAAAGCTGTAGCAGCATAAAAAGTCAGAAAAAAGTAGGCGACTTTTTTAAGACTTCATTGAAAATGTAATGAACGCAAAAAAGGCTGAAATATTGCTATGTTCCTTCTTAGCAGAACGTAATTTAGCATTTTCGACAACCGACCACCTAACCAAATGTCTACAAGAGAAAAAAAATATATTAAAAATCAACACGATTCTTTAGCAACTTAAAACTTGCACTTAATTACCCTGGAAAATAATGGGCTACAAAACTGCATACTCAAAAAATTCTTAAAAATCCGAATAAAAAGTTGAAAATCTAGCTGAAACTTTGCAGTTTTTTTGCAATTTTTGCACAAATGAAATGTGGATTTATATTTCGTTTGTTATATAATGAGCTAGGCTTTTATGGAAAAATTATAAACATTAAATAAACAAAAGCAAAACAGCCACAATCGATCAAAATATTGATGACTTAATCAGCTGGTCACAAGTGTATATATAAAAATATTTTTATATTAACGATCTCAAACCAGTTTACAATGAATTTTAAATGTGCTCTGTCGAATAATATACCTTACATATACACTTATGTACCTTTGTATACAATAAAAGTTTAGTAAGAACAATTCTGTGTGCATACATTTGAAAAGGACGTATTTGGGTAGAAAATTACGTTTTCTCAGACCAAGAGCGACGTTTTCTCATGCCGAAGACCTGGCAACACTGGCTGTGGCCCGTAGCTCGTTGTTTTCAATGTGTTCAGAACTTATAAGTGACCATCAGGTCAAGGTGCAAGGATGGTGTTTTAGGGAAAGCAGTCGAGAATTCTAGCTTTAATTGAAGCCTAAGTGGAAAGTTCTATTACCTTCTATCAGCTACTCAAATATTGCAAAAACGCGATTTTTTGCCACGTTGACCTCGTATTTCTCAAAGTCTGGAGTTGATGGAAACTTTATACTTACGGACTCGTAATCAGCACAAAAAAGTCTATCAAAAACATCTTTAACATTTGCAGCTACAAAGTTTTTTCCAATTTTGTTGCCCTGTGTTATTAATTACTTTCTAAGGCCCACTTGCAGAACATCCAGAGTTAAATATATAATAAGCTTAGGGTTAAATTTTTTTGTTCCCAAAACAGTCAGCATTGAAAACTGTCAGCAAAAAAATTGCCAAAAATCAACGCGATTTCTCAGGAACTTACACTTGCACTTAATTATACTTAAATTTAATGGGCTACAAACTGCGGACTCAAAATTTTTCTACGAGACTGGAATAGAAAGTTGCATCTGTATGTAAATTTATTGAATATTCCTGAGTTTTGCACAACGTTTGGAAGCATTATTTTTATGTATTTTGTTGTAGTATAGACTATGCTTTTATAATAAATCAGCGAAAAAATGTGTCTCTCTCTTTCATCTTCTTAGGACAGATATAGATCAGAAAATATTTTTTGCCGCCAAAATCGACTAAATCTACCTAGGTGCAACGTTAAATTGCAGGTCCCTGCTTTTTGTGTGACAACATAAAGGTGCACGCCACAAATTGGAAGAAAAGATCGACCAAACCAAACAAGCAAAAGTGTCAGCGCCAATATATTGCGACAATTTTGTGGCAATTCAAACCAGCTCGGACTTTGCTAATATTTTCTGAAAGTATACATATCCAGCAATAAAACACTCGATGGATTTGCAAAAGTTAGCTCGGGTTTTTATTTTATGACCTACTAAGGTTTTCATATCCCGTCCCAAGTAGTTTTCAAAACAGTGGAAAAATGGTTAAATAAATATCGAAATTGAACAAAATCGTGTGGGAAATATTTTCGAAGGACATTTTAACCCATTAGCTCCCGCCCGAAAGAGTCGTTTCGACCCCTACTTCAATAAACCCCTCAAAAAGCAACTTTGGAAGTTCGTTGTTGTGTTCTAGAAAATTATTCATCTGATACTTTTACTAAGGGTCTTCTCACGTTCCCTGGGTATTACTAAGCAAGATAAATTAAAAATTCATTGTTTCTAAAAGGATTAAGATACTTGTCTTATTTATTCCCGTTTATCTATACTTCTATACTAATTATATAAAGAGAAGTCCCTTTTTTTTGTAACAGGTAATCTCGCGAACGGCTGGTCCGATTTTCATGAAATTTTGTATACAAATAGCTTTCGGTAACCACCATGTTTTAGGCTAAAAAAATTTTACTTTTCTTCGGGTAGGTAGGTGGACCAGGGACCGGTCTATTCGAAAAAATCTTATTATAGTCCGATGTGCTTAAAATTTAGTACGTAAGTAGCTTTTTAGCATATATTAGCATATATGACCCATTTTTTCCGGGAAGTGGTCCAGGACCGATCTATTCGAAAAAATCGAATTTACGGTCCGATTTGCTTAAAATTCGGTGCGCAGGTAGCTTTTTAGCATGTATTAGCATATGTGATCAATTTTTTCCGAGAAGTGGACCAGGGACCGATCTATTCCAAAAAAATCGTATTTACTGTCCGATTTGCTTAAAATTCGGTACGTAGGTAGCTTTTTAGCATATATTAGCATATATGATCCATTTTGTCCGAGAAGTGGACCAGGGACCGATCTGTTCGAAGAAATCGTATTCATGGTCCGATTTGCTTAAAATTCGGTACGTAGGTAGCTTTTTGCCTGGATAAGCTTATAGATTCCTGTTTTCCAATTTTCATGCAATTTCGAATATAAATAGCTTTAAGTAACGACCATATCAAGGGGCGAATTCGTCACTAGGCAGGATTTTTTTGCGCCAATCTGAAACAACGGATACTGTCAAAATATAATTATAATATATAATATATCTCAACTAATATTTATTTAGAAAGCCGTTTGTTAGTTTTCGCAAGGCTCGAGAGCGGCTGAACCGATTTTTTTGAAACTGCCACCTGCCGCACGTGTCCCAAGGATGGTTTTAGGCTGAAAAAAATCTATATGTAAAGGGGGCGTGGCACTTCCCATACAAACCGAATTTCTCATGCTACATATCTCTGAAAGTGTGCATGGTAGAGTTTTGGAAATTGGTATGGAGATATACGAAATCAATCGCATACCCTTGGAGAAAGATTTAAGCTATTGTAAAAAGGGGTGTGATATCTCCCATACAAACCGAATTTTTCATACTGCTTATCTCTGGAAATTTGTTGGTAGAGTTCTAGAGTTTTGTGTGGAGATGTACGAAATAAATCGCATACTCTTGGAGAAAAATTGGAACTATTGGAAAAGGGGGCGTGGCATCTTCCATACAAACCGAATTTTTCATACTGCCTATCTTTGGAAGTGTTCATGGTAGAGTTCCGGAACTTGGTATGGAGATATACGAAATCAATCGCATATAAATCGAATTTTTATACTGCATATCTCTGGTACAGTACTGGAACTTCGTATGGAGATATGTATATAGTTGAAATCAAGCCCATACTCATAGAGAAAATTTGGGCTATTTGAAAAGGTGTGTGAGGCCTACAAACGTACCGACCTTTAGCTATCTTTGAATGAATTTTTTTATTCTTCTGTAGGTGTGTTTGTGAGTAAAATCCTCCCGAATGGTTGTACGGATCTTAACGAAACTTTTTGTGTATTTGAGTGGGTCTCTGGATGGTTTAGTTTCACAATTTAATCCGACAGTTGGCGCTGTAGTTGAGTTATTACTAAAAATCTTATATATGATCCGATTTTGCTAATGTTTTAAATATGTATGCAATACTATTGCAAAAACGTGCTTCCAAGTGGTGCTGAAGTCGATCTATTACTAAAAATAGCCAAGTGAGAAAAGGGGCCGTGAAGGTCAGATTAAATCGACCTGTTGCACCATTGAGTATATCGAACGCTCCTGCGTTGCAATTGGCCCAATGGATGTGATTTTCCAATATTATTATGCGTTCAAACTTTTAAGGTATTTCGTCTGAAATAAGTATATTTATATTGCATTTCTGTAGAACAATGATTCACACCCATTTTGAAATTGCCACCTACTATACTGTAAAGCTTCTAGGACATTCACTATAGAACCGGGTCATTATTGCCGCCAGGGAGTGAAGAGGAAAAAATTTATTTCGCTTTGCGAATAACCGTGCTATGAAATGCCGCACAACTGGAGAATTTCAAGAACGGATATAACACTTTCCTTAGGTTATTTAAAGCGGCAAATGACCACCAAAACTTAATCTTAGCAAACAAATGTGCCAATGAAAATCGTAAACGTGAATTGTTGGTGAAAAAGTTGGACCAAAAAGTTTCAATAAAATATATAAACATTTTGGGCAAGACGAAGTTCGCCGGGTCTGCTAGTATTCAATGAAAGGTAAACTTGATAAGTTAATATTAATACGAAATATTTAAGTTAACATCGAATCGTTCTCATTCGCGTAGCGTTTTGCTTTAATTTTAACACCAAAAATTTTTTATTCATATTTTTCAAAAATTTAAAAAAGAAGAAGTTTTTCTCTCCTGAAAAATTTTAAAAATGGACTTAGCCACTTTTCACTCTAAGTAACCGATATGTATTTCTTATTTGTACTTGATATTTAATACCTGTTTACAATTGATCACTGCATCGAACATGTAATTACCATTAGCCAATTCACCCCAATCCAAGATAATTATATTGACATCGTCCCGCTGCAGATAGGCATCTACAATTACATGTATGCTTTCAATATTTGCGTCCTCTAAGTAGCCATGTAAATACAGCACGGTATTTTTTGTTTTTGAGAAATTCGAGTCCTCGAGGAGCGACTTGTAGTCGTTAAGATCATAAATGTCGCTGTCGCCATAGGTCGGCCTGTAATAAAAAAATATTAATCAAAATACAATTTTTTAATTTCTAAATTACAAAATCGTAAAAATTCTGAAGAGGTGAATTCTGTCTTCTTACGCGGAAACTAAACAAAATTTTTACAAAATAGGAAGCATGGTTTTTGAGTTATGACAGTCTTTTAGTAAATGGCCGACGGTGACATGTAACAAGATCAACGGAAATAAGGTCAATTGACATTATTACCATTTCAAAAGCGAAATAAAGTCAACAAAAATTTGGAAATAAAGTCATTGACGCTATTTCCTCATTCAAATGGAAATAGCGTCAACAATGCTTAAAGTATGTCGGTTCATAGAAAAAAATTTTGTTTTTACAATAAACCTTGCCCCGTAAGTATTATTTTTTAATAGATGAAAAAGGTTATTGCCAAATCCTCAGTGTGATGCTATTAATCCACACACAATCGTGAACTACCACCAATTGATTTTATTAAAAAATTTAAAATTGCGAATATAGTAAAAACACGATGCGAAAAACCAAACGCAAAACGCAGCTGGAATAAATACGAGAAATATTTGAAGAAAGGGTGTAGAAATGATCCAGAACTTGCAAAACATGTTTCGTTTCCACAAAAATAAAGCGAACACTATTAAATTGAACAAACAGTCCATGTACAAAAAACCCCGGAGGGACACTGAAAGAATGCTGTGTTTTAAATTAGCATATTTTGAACGAATTTTAAATGTCTAAGGTGGAAAATAAACCAACCTTTCTATAAGGAAACAATTATATAAAAAGAATTTTCTTACACTGTATTCATGTCTCCGCCAGAAATTTGTGACGACATCATTTAAAAGCATCTAAGGAGAACGACGACACTATTTGTTAGATGGCACATTCAAGCCAATGTGCCAAAATGCGGATATAAACAATTATTGATTATTTAATATCGGAACTGAGATCATGAAAGTAAATTGATTGGTGTTCACACACTTTTGAAACACAAATGATATGCTTTTTTACTGCAGACAAGTTGTTGCCAAAACACAGCAGAAATCTTCCAATAACTTACAAATATTCAAATGTGAAATATCGAGGGCTTAAATTCATTAATACCCTCTATCAAAACTAATTTGTGATTGTAGAAACCATCTGGGACTTATTACCTGTCATCACTGATTTCCAATTTATAATAGTGAAAATTCTTCTGTCAAGCGTTATATAAGGTAGCATTAATATCACCGATGACACTTAAATCTTTGGTGGATTTTTATATCAGAAACTCATCTTTGTGAAAAGTGTGCATAGAGAGGGTATTATTAAATATATGCCCTCGATATGTAAAATATACAAAAAAAATTTCTTTCAATGTATACAAAAAAAATCTACCTGCGTTACAGCCGCGTAGCGTGACGTGGTGTGGCGCGCAGACGTGGGCCGCCGGGAAGCTAAGCAAATTTAATCTTTGAAAGAGCAATAATTTCAATGGATTTTATTTCGCTTTTGAAAAGGTAATAATGTCAATTGACTTTATTTCGCACCAGGGCGAAAAGGGTGAATGGTCACACTGGCGGGCCAAAGCTCAGGACTGAGTAGTTTATTAAACATAGCTTCAGGCACTCCTAGATAAAAATTTATTCGCCTTAATGATTCGAGTGGAGTATCTTTTTTTATAAGACTATAGCAAGATAGTAGCTCGTTTGCTATTCCCGAATGCTTAGCAATATACCCAATCACATTGTCACTCGTAACAGAAGGCAAAACCGATGCAATATGAAGTCACTTAGTACGAACAGCAACATCGAGCTCCGAATTAACATTTAAACCAATGACACGCAATTGTTGTCGACTACATTTCTTCTTCTTCTTGAAAGTAAGCCACTCAGATTTTTGGTGAGCAAGCTGGTCATTGCTGTCACCTATAATAACAACTTCATCCGAGCGTACATCAGCAGACTCAGCAGGTAACAGAGACGACTCCGTATTATTGTTGGCAATGGTAGCAGAACTACAAGGGGCCACGCGCTTAGCTGACATAGCAGGAGAGAGCTGCTCCGCAGTAGAGGTCGTAACCTTAGCAGGCAGAGCAGCCGAGAGATCAGCACTAGCCAACGACGGCTCAGCGAGAGTATTAATGGCAATGACATCAGTAAGATCGGCACTCGAAGAAGCAGGAGAAATGCGCATAATCGACGATAACGCAGCAGCAGTATCAGCTTCAGCACCTTGCATTGTCCGCTTGGGCTGAGAACAAATTTCAATGATTTTTGACAAATTAGACGAGTTGCTCTTGGGAGGCGGGTCAATGCCCTTTGATCGAAAGCGCGTATTAATCGCATTTTCACTTGCATCAATGTTCATAGACTTCAACGTAGACTTGTCATTGTTCTTAACAGGGACGTGAACCGGTTTTGAACCGAACCGGTTTTGAACCGGAAAACCGCTTTTTTCTATTAATTAACTGAACCATTAACCGAACCGAAATTTTCCACAAATGTTTGATCCGACCCGAAAACCGAACCACTTTCCATAAAGGTTTAAAGGTTCGTTTCAACCAAGTTTTAATAGATAAATGTACCCACTTTTTTCTTTTTGTTAAACATGGTAATATCTACCATGTGACAGAAAGACAGAAGAAATACGTTTATGATAAAATTTTGGAAAACGAGCGTGGCACCGTCCACTTATGATCACATATATGTATCTCGGTAATCGGTCTACCAATTTATACCAAACTCGGTATTCCTATTGTGCTTGCCAAATAAAAGCAAAACGGTTAAAATTATTGAAATCAGACTAAAATTGAGGCCGCTTTTCATACAACGGTAAATTTCAGAAATGCTTGAAACTTCAATATTTCGAAATTTAAGGACGCTTAATTACTCAAAATTGATACACCCCGCTTACCATGTTAGGGTCGCTCTCGGAAAGGTGAAAATCATATATTTAATACTTGCGCCGGGTATTTAATGTTCGGCTCCGCCCGAACTTAGACTTTATTACTTGTTTGTTTTTCGAACCGTTCAACCGAACCGAAACCCCAGTTCAAATACCAAAAAAACCGCTTTGAGGAACCAATCCAAAAGTGCAAAAACGGTTCACGTCCCTGGTTCTTAACACCCGCAAGCACCTTCTGAATTTCAGCTAATGAAGAAGACCACACTTTTTCAAATTTAGAGAGGCACATAGGAATAGTGCAATTAACGCAGATATCACATCTAAACATAATATTCACGTTTACTTTTACAAGATTTAGGCAGTTAGAGTTTAAGTTAGAGCATTTTAAATGCACTTTTTGCCCACAGACACCGCAAGAGATAAAGTCATCTTTTACGATTTGTTTCTCACAGTTTATACACTTAGTCATCGCGATATCAGACCGAAGAGCAAAATGCAAAACACAGAGCAACGAAAAACACGTCTGCCCGCGACGACGGTCAACTGATATATTGTTACCTGTCACCATGACCGACATGTCTATGACTCGATCGAAAATTAATTTCGAACGGAACTGACTATAATTTTTCTCAATCCTTGAATCGAATCGTTTTTATTATGGAATGCCCGAAAATAATATACTCGTACGTCTCGCTAAGTATTTTATCGTGCTTCTCCAGTAAGTTTAGTCCTGCAAATGGTTTTTTTTGAGAAGCCTTTCTTCGTGACTGAATTACACTCGGATTTTTAGCGTTTATTTAAAATGTGCGTTTCCTTAAGTATTACTTATAACAAGTTATGGTCTGATTATGCATACTTCGCATAACTTCGCACAACTTCGCATAACCTGCAAATTGTAATTTCGTATGTTCTTTGTACGTATTTTTTTATGTATTACCCAGAAATTGGCGGAACTTTTAAAAACTTAGCGATCTGTTTAGTTAAGATTTCGCTTCACATTTTCTTTTTTAAGTTACATTCTTATTGCACTGGTACAAATGGTTGTGCGAAGTTATGCGAAGTATGCATAATCAGACCTTTAGATATGTAAAATATTTTAGTAAGTTTCGTACCCATAAAATAACATAAATTTTGCAATTGTCAGATCAGCGTGGGATGATTTTAAGCCCATCAGTAATCCTGTAAGTAAATAAAAAAAACGATTATTTATCATCGGGCGCAATGTGCATGCAGCTGGCACTGGTAGTTAAATTAATGCAATAAATTATATCAGAAAGAATCCACGATGTGGAGAAGAAAGGTGGTGCCCATCCCGTACCGCTATTCCGCTATTCTCAGTGAATTTGACAGAATCGCCGTTTGTGTGACGTCACACTTGTGCAACTTATTTACATTTTTCTTGCAATATTTCTTCTTCTTGCATTCTTGCTCGCGTTTTGAACCAACTAACTTAACCAATGTGACGTCACACAAAAATTATTCTCAAAAATCCTCTCTTGGAAAAAAACCTGTATGTTTCTTTTGGTCAGAAGCACGGTTGCCACTCATTTTTTGTGGCCCAAAATTTAAAAAAGTGTACCAAAATATTTTTTAGAATTAAAATTAGTCTACATTTTCACCTAAATATTCATACATTGTATAAGTATGCGAATTTGTTACTTCATTACAAATTACATATTTTCTAACTATACTCTTTTTATTTACACCACAACCCAGCATATTTAAATTTCTTTGATCGACTACTTTCCAGGGAACAATTACACATTCTCTGAATAAAGGGTTTTCTTTTTCACTTTATCATTTTACAACTCGTCACTTTATAATATATATTGATATTAATAAATTTCAAGAAAAACTTATTCTAAAACATATGTTTAAGGCCGGGTAATAGCACATAAATATAAAAACAATACAAAACGTAGTTATATATCTAAATAACAATTATCTATTTTTGTACGATTTTAAAAATGTACCAAATCCAAAAGTTGTGTACCAGTGTACCAAACTAGAAAAAATGTGCCAAAAATGGTACATTTTGGCCAAAATGGAAACCGTGGTCAGAAGTTCTGCTGATTTTTCTGAAGACGCGCAGCGTATTTTGTATGGAAAACGATAAAGAACGTGCTTCGCAAGCGCGCTAGACTCGCTGTCACTTACATATGTATGTATACTTGTTGAGTTTTCCATACAAAACACGTTGCGCGTCATGAGAAAAATCATGATAACTTCTGACCTAATGCAATATACTGATTTTTTCTTTCTTTAAGTCTTCGTAATAAAACAAGGAATCGTAAATGCCCAGAAAAAATATTGAATTCGGATCAGAAGTTTATTTGTTTTAAATAATTGTTGGTATTACTTATACTAAATTTAAGCATAATCAATTTTTTTTAAATTGGATGTTTAAAAATTTTTTAAACAATATCTCTTGAAAAAATTAAATTCTTGCAAAACCGCTTTAGGTTATAATTTTTACTCCAGAATACTATAAAGTTATTGATATAACAACAAAAATTTAGTGGCCCACTTCAGAAAATTTCAGCCATACATAATGTGACCAACAGTGCCGGATTTAGGATCTATGGGCCCCTAGGCTTTTTGTATGGTGCGGGCCCCTTGGGTGCACTAAGGCAAACGGCGGCCACGACTCTTCCCCACATTTTAGTTTTTTTAAGTTGTAAACATAACCTAACCTTACAGGTAAAAATAACGATTAGGTTTTTCAATATAATCTTAAAATACATACTTTGTAAATTTTAAACCACGTTATATTTTTCAGAAAAATTCTAAGTACGCAGTTTTATAGCCATTAAATCTTAGTATACCAAGTGCAAGTTTGAAGTTGCTAAAAACCGCGAGAATAAACGCCAAAAAGTGCAGCCTATTTTACGTAATGGACGCCCGAAGTCGGTTTTTATCAGTTTCAGTTTCGAAAATGACCTTTCTTCTGAACTGTTGGTGACCATGAGAGAGAGCAACATTCTTAATGCAACTTCTACATTTGGGGAGCAATCTTTGACGTTATAATCAAACAAAAGTTTATACATCCATGTATCTTTGCTATCAACTTCTGGATTTTTCTCATAGTCTGTTTAAAACTGCATGTAAAAATGTTTAAATTGTATTACCTCGTTCACTAAATTGTCTTCCAAGACATTTTCGTATATCTCAAACAATTTTGTACTTTCTGAGAGCATTTCTTTATCACCGAGCATGTCTAATGTGTTGAGGACGTTCATGAACAAGTTTGAAGCAGTGATGAAATTGATGGTACAATTGTACTTTTTTGGTACATTTTGAATTCCAAAAGTACATGGGTACTACATCGACATTTTTGATACAATTTTGTCAAAACACGGCGCTACCATTGTGTATACATGGAAATTGGAATTTCTGTGGATGAAAATATTATCATCTTTTTCTACCTCATAGAAGTAAATAGTGGTGTTTCTTAAAAACGAAAGACTTCTTCTCCTTCAAGGGTTCTTCTTTCACAAGGGTTCCCTGTATTGCCAGCTCATCGGCTACACAGTTACCCATGATTTCGCTATGACCCGGAACCCAAATGAGCTTAATAGCGTAGTTATCCGATGCGGAAGTACAACTAGTCGTCACCATTTTCGCCTACATAAAATTGGTTACACTAAAGAGCAAACAATCCGAAGCCTCCTGTATTGCGGCTACCTCTGCTTGGAAAACGCTACAGTGATCCGGTTGCCTGAATATCAGATTGATGGAGAGTTTTTTCTGTTTACACTTTTGAATCTAAACGAAAATTCGAGCAGCTGTTCGGACAGCTTGGAAATTGCTGCAAACTATACTGGATATTTTCCTCTTGTGAGATAACAGCTGCCATTTCACGGAAATTTTGTTGCTGGACATGTTTTACTGGAGATGTTAAGCGCACGTACCAATAGAGATACTTACCTATTTCAAAAACATATGTGTTCATATGTATGTATGGTCTTTTAAGTGTTGGAACTTTTTCGGCTGATTTAGTACTTTTTTCTTGGCCATTTGGCACGAAATTCAAAAACCTATTTATCATCCCTGGTTTGTCGGCCTCCACCTCTTTCTTAGTTCACTCCCAAGTGAGTCTATTACAGGTATGAAACTTTGGGTTCGAAATTTATTCGATGGTTTTTTAATGTCATACCTTTTTTAAAATAATTTAATTCTTTTTGCTTTATTTTCATTTAAACATAAACATATACATATGTACATTTTTTTTTTATTTAATTTAATTTTTAAAAAACTTATTGCTAAAAGGCGAACAGCCTAACGCTAAGTCTTTCGAAAGACAGTAACGAGCTTTCAAGATAGTTGCAGAAGTTACACATTTCTTACGAGAGACTTTTGTCTTGCGAAAGACTGTCGTGAGTTGAAAGACAGTTGAAAGAATTGCCCGGATATATTAATTTTACACTACTTTATTTGAAAATTTGCCTTTAAAATTTTGTATAAGATAGCCGAATGACCGAACATAAAGCAATAAAGCTGTCAATTTATCCACTTGCTTATTGACCTTTTTTATATATTTTTTTGTGATGTTGCTTTGACCAGGCCTTGAACCCAGACCTTTCGGAGTGGTAGCGCGCACTGCTGACCACTACACCACAGCGGCCACAACTTTAGGTGCGCTTAAATTCTCTAACACATTCACCATAGCACTGTTTTCAATATTTTCTTTATTTCGTCACTAGACACGAATAAAAACGCGCTAGTGTTTTGACGGCGAAAAAAAGACGCGTAAAAAAACTTTCCGAAAAAAGACGCGTAACCTATTTTGTACATTCTGCTAACATTTTGTTACGCAAGCCTATTGGGTCGATAGCCATTGTCAACCATTATCGCGCCACAACTATACATATGTTGGTACCACTAGCGTGTGTCTCAACATGTTGCGCAGCATGTGTGGGAAGGCGCATTTGTAGTAACCCTGCAAAAAATTGTGCGACTAATCTCTAAAGCGAGTATTCCGAGATTACTCTCAATCGGGTACAATTGGACATTAATTAGTCGCAACTAGTCTTATACAGGTACTAATGGAGGTCAGTTAGTCTCGACTCATCCCTTATGGGTATAATTGGAGATAAATTAGTCCCCAACTCATCTCTAACGGGTACTATTAACGATTTAATGATATGTACGCACTTAGTCAATGAAATTTCATGTGCGGCGTTGGCACACAGAGAGAGTATTCGCCTAACAAAACTGAGCACCCCAGTTCGAATCTCAGCTGGCGCAAATTTTTATTTTTATTTTTTTAAAGTGACTAGTCGCTTTTTGTACCCATTCGGGTATAAAGGTTAACAATTAGTCTCTTCATAGGACACGCTCGAACAAAAGCGAACAGTTCATTCCATATAAAGAGATCAAAAGTGGTATTAGTCGCATGCTCCTTTGCGATTGCTCCCGGAGTCATCCCGGATTACTCCCATTTTTTGCTATCCCTGCGGCTCGAAAGGGCCCCAGCCAGCAAAGAAAAGTAAATTTTGTCGACAGTGCAGTTGAGACCAATTTTCCGTATCCGAAAACGCATACAAAAAACTCCTACAGTTATCATTAATTTTCGTATCCAGAAACAATGCAGTTTAGTTCAATTTTCCGTATCCGAAAACGCATACAAAAAAGTCCTATAGTTATCATCAATTTTCGATTTGAATTTGAAAGCAATAATTGTATTTTATTTGCTTAAGCTAAACATTTGAAAGCATATATGCTTAGTCGGCAGTGGCTGAGCGTGCAGAGGAGTATGCCGCTATTTGTTAGCTTCCAGAAGGTGCCGGGTTCGAATTCCGTCATGCGTTTCCTAATTTTATTTTATTTCTTTTGAACCATGCAAAGTATCTATGAAGTGCAGAAGGAAAGCGTATTGAACGAAAAATTCTATCAGACAAATTTCAGAAAAAACAGTTTCACAAACTGTTGTCTGTATGTATGTTTCTGCCGCACACTTTAGTGGGAAAACGGATCGTCAAAGTATCCGGAAATGGAATCAGTAAACGGACAAAAATCCGCACTTCATCCACTTTTTTGTCCTTTTTCGGATCGGTTTTCGGCTTTTTTGCTGGTTGGGGCAGTTGTGAGAATGAGTGTGTGAGTGTAAAATACTTTTGCAGATGACCTTTCGGTTATGCAGAAATTGCGTTTTATGCCTGTCCGCCCGCTATATAAAA